TATATATATATAATATATTTTCTAGGTACGCGTGAAAGAACGTGTGTTTAGTTATACAGTGATACAGTGATTCATGTATACAACTATAAACAAAAATGATCTTCGATAAAATACAATGATAACAAATATTATTTTTGTGATTAATCATTTCTATTATAATACTTTAAATATTTGAACAATTTTGATAAAGGTGTGTGTCAACTATCAATAATTTTTCTATTGCAAAAGAAAAAATAGAAAATAATTATTATCCTAATAATATAATAATAACAATATTAATAATAATAATAATAATAATAATAATAATAATAATAATAATAATAATAAAAAGATGGATCACGTGCACGTGAAATCAAGATCGAGTTCTAACTCAAAAAGCAACAATAATCCACCGACAAAAATGGGCTGCGAAAAGGCGTCGAGACGCCTTAGGACGATTCTAGTTAAAGCGTCGCGTCTCGGCGTCACGACGTCTGAGGTCGCCGGATTACCGGCCGCCAAGAAGCTTTTTCCACAAAAAGATCATGGTTGGAGGCTCGCGGTATTTCTTCTTCTAATGTTCGCCGGAGGTGTCATCGTTGCACTCGTCTGCACCACGAGAAAAGGATGCTCAAAACTCGAAGACATTGTAAGTTCATTTAACGATTACACTTTTCTTTCACAATTAATTATTATTAATTATTATTTTTTGTTTGATACCTAATCATCGTTGTGATCGATAAATAATTGATAATATTTAAGCAAACATGGCGAAATGAATTTATTTCTCGAATTCTTGTGTTATTTTTTTTTTAGGTTATGTTACGAATTTCTTCATTTTGTTTAACATATATATTTTCTTTTTTTTTTTTTTTGTTGGATGAGAAATGTAAGAGATAGAAGCTAATTAAACTCTAAATATTATGAATGTAGTGAAGAGAATATATTTTTAGATTACTCGTGTTATTTTTCTAGGTTATGTTTTTAATTTCTTCACTTTATTGCATTTATATATATATATATATATATATATATATATATATATATTTTTTTTATGAGTAATGTAAGATAGAGAAGCTAATTTAAGCTTGAAAGTAACTTAAAGTATTGTTAGGATAGAAAATAGAATTTATTTTTAGGTTATACTCGTTTTCTATCGAACGTATTTATCCGTTCTGATATTTAATTAATATAATAATAAAATTAAATATATATGTACTTTTAACGAAGAAAGATGTTCACACACAATTTAAAGTTTAGTTTAATATTTACAAAAAAAAAATTAAAAGACAATATTTCACGAACTTTTCACCTAACCTAAAATATTTGCAAATGTTACAATTTTTCGTTATTATAATTATAATTAAATAAACTCATCCCTTGGTATATTCAATTAATAAGACCGATCTTATTTATTCGATAGAAAATATTCACTTAATGTAAAAAAAGATTAAAAAAAAAAAAAAAAATAAAAGAGTAGAAAAAAAAAAAAAGAAAACAGAAATTCTAATCGCGAGAATCTCACGCGATCCTTCCGCTTTGCCTTTTTATCTTCCAAGAGGATTTCTTCGAGCANAAAAAAAAATTAAAAGACAATATTTCACGAACTTTTCACCTAACCTAAAATATTTGCAAATGTTACAATTTTTCGTTATTATAATTATAATTAAAAAAACTCATTCCCTGTTATATTCAAGAATTCTTTCGTATCTTTTTTATACGGATGCTATTATTAAGTTAATAAAAAAAAAAATAAAAGAGTAGAAAAAAAAAAAAAGAAAACAGAAATTCTAATCGCGAGAATCTCACGCGATCCTTCCGCTTTGCCTTTTTATCTTCCAAGAGGATTTCTTCGAGCACGACGTAAAAAAGAGGAATGCCATGGTTCGTCGTGCATGCTCTGAATATCGAACTCCTCTCTTTCTGATAAAAGTTAGAAAAAGAATGAAAATGATAGAATAGAGTCGCAAAAAAAAGAAAAAAGAAAAAAGAAAAAAAAAAAGATGAATAAAAATATGCATTGAGAAAAAAGATGACGCAAAGGTAGACGCCAAAAGATAAAGATAAAAATTGACTGATAAAAATTAGATTAAAAAGAAAAAGAAAAAAAAAGAATGGAAAATAAGATAAAAACCCGGATGAATAAAAAACAAGACAGGAGACACGAAACGAGTAAAGAATGAGAAAGAAAAAAGGTGAAATAACGGAAAGAAATAAAAGTCACAGGATCGGAGGGAAAGTCGGGAGTTTGTGTCGGAGAAATAAAAGTCTACTGGGAAAAAGTATTAAAAGTAAAATAAAGAATATAAACAAACATAAAAATAAAGTATATGAAACAAAGTTCAAAATGACGAAATAAAAGTCGAGTTAAGGAATATTAATAATGCATAATAATAATAATGTACAAAGGGAAAAGATTAATGCAAAAGATGTAAGAAACAATTTAAAAATAAAACAAAAATGTATTAATTAAATAAACTATTTATATAAAAGTAATATTACAATATTCAATAAAGGATAAAACACCGTAAAAAAATGTAAAAGAAGAAAAAACCATGACAGAAACGAGACACATATAAATGGAATGCAATAGAGTGAGATGGATAGATAGAATGGAAGTAGTCGTGTTAAGCATGTTTCGAGTATGGGATCTAGAAAGAGAAAGAGAGAGAGAGAGAGAGAAGGATAGAATGAGAGAGAGGAAGAGGAGTTGAGGCGGTGAAATTACAGATCAAGGGGTTTCTAAACAATTACGCTGTCGGCAGGAGGTCAGGGCGAGAGTAGCGTGAGTGAGGTTAGGGGTTACGGCTCGCAGGAGGTAACGGAGGCTTGCGGCCTGCGGCTGGTTGCGGACGAGGGTCGAGGCTAACAGGAAGTGCTCTTCCTCTCTCCTCTTCCTCTTACTCTCTAACAGTCTAGCAAGCAATGGACGGAGGGTAACATCGACTGGAGCTTCTCCAGCGTTCAGAGAACTCGTCCTTCTCTTGTCTGATATTCCCTGAGGAAAAGCGTTCCATTGTTCTTGAGGGGTTGAAGAGAGATAGATAGATAGACATGAAGGATTCAGGGTGACGTTAAGGAGAAGGTGGTGGTGTGTTCGAGTAGGTTGGGGTATATGATAGGTAGGTGTCTACCTAAGTAGCAACCTACCTTGCTAGCTACCTACCTACCTACCCAACTAGAAGCTTGACTACTACTACTACTACTACCTAGCTAGAAACCTAGTAAGTGGATACACTTGCCTACTCTACCTGCTAGTAAAGATAGTGGTGGTGATGGTAATTTTGATGATGGTGGTAGTGGTATGGTAGTATTCCTCAGGTCGAATCTACCGATTCACCATAGAACATCGCGATTACATCGATCGATTGGTCTCCAGCATGGGTTACTTGGAAAGTTCCCTCTTTGAATGGTACCTCTAACGGGATTGGTAGCGATTTTCACTGACGTAGCTGGGTTGAAGCTCGATTATCACCGACCGACTGATTGGCGGTCAGAAACATCGTTCCGGGCTCAAACCAGAACCCTTCTCGTACTTTCCATTCTATGAGAAGGAGGAGGTGATGAAGGGTAGAGGGGAGATGAGGGTGGTTATAGGTAGGTTGGTACTCAGTACTTTAGTCTAGAGGCGTTACGTTCTAGCACCGTTGTTGAACGTGATGCTGCTTTCCGGAGAGTTACCATTTGATGAGTGGCAAAGATAGCAGGATTTAGAGAAAGAAGGCTAAATAGAGTGTGAGAGTGTGGGAATGTTATATTGAGAGAGCAAGAGAAAGAGAGAGAAAGAGAGAGAGAGAGAGATAAAGAGAATAGTCTCTCTTTGATGTTACCGACAAATCGGAAACGTAGTCGATGCTCGTACGATCCTTCCTCATTAGCCGTAACTGCGGCTTCCTTCTGCTCTCAATATCGACCATTCCTGACGATGGCTGATATTCATGAAATGGGACACGTGCGAATTTCCTCGCGTTACCAACACGAAAGTCGTGTTAAGTAATCGATTCCCTCCCCCTCCTCTTCCTCATTCTCTTCGTTATCCTTTTACACTATGCCAAGTAAATACACTTAACATTCTCTTTGTAATACTTGTGGTACATGGTTTACAGTTTCACGGTTATAATCGTTCAAATTACACGTTTAAGAATTTTAATTCTAATCACGAATTAAGCACTAGAATTCAAGTCTGATATTTTTCCATATTTTAGGGATTTGATTTTGATTATTTTATTGTTAAAATGTTGTGAGAATGTTTATTAATTGTTTGAGTGCACAGTAAATGAAATCATTTGATTTTGTTGGCGGATTTAAACGTTTGTATGTACTACTTGAGTGTTCGTATGAATTTTCATTGACACGTATTACTTTAATGTTGATGGTCTCACTATTGACTTTTACTACTTAATGGTCGAGTATATTTTCTCTTTCTACTCTCTTTCTACTTAATTCCTGTCTGATTACAACTCTGCTTGCACCACTCGAATTCTTAATCTAATCTCATCGAATTTTGAACAAATAAATATTATTATTAAACTATTTGTTAAATATTTATTATTGCACGATGAATATGTCTAAATAAAATTATATTTGTACTATTAAAATATGAAAAATTATTCACAGATCTCATGATAAAAATATTTAAACTAAACTGTTTAATAAATGAAACGTTATTTCAATAATAAATTATAATATTTATGAAAATTATTGAACGATGTCAAAATAATTGGAAAAACTTATACGAAAAAGGTTCTCTCAAAGAAATCGATTACTCGGGACGTCTAACACGTCGATTGATCGATCGAAACATCCTGGTTTCCCCTTTTTCTTGCATGAACTCACACGTTAATGCTCTAGTATGAAACACCCAGAGGCATTCAACGCTTCGCTAAATACAACGGGTTGGGGATCAGGGCTGACTCGTGCCGGTTCGAAAAGATTCTCTCTCTCTCTCTCTCTCTTTCTCTTTATCTATCTAGCCATCTATCCATCTGTCTTTTTCTATCTGAAACGACGGAACCAACGAAGGTTGAACACCCAACATGAAAAAGCTCCAGGGTTCTCACATCTATTCGTCGTTGTCCTAGTTGTCCTCTTCGTCAAATCATATCACGACGTCGGCATAAATTCAAGCTTCCTAGTCGAGACTATGATCTTTAACCTTTTCACCAAGCACGTTCGCGGTGATACTTCCTCCTGACGTCAAGACCCTCTTTTTCTTTCTCCCTCATCTCTACCCTCAAGCCCTCTATACTTTGGTCATGATTTCTCTTGTTATTCCACATTTAGTCTGGAATACAAATTCATACTCGTTTATGATACTTGTTTAACGATATTATTGATACCTATACCCCAAATATAATAAATTAACAAACTTAAGAGTAATTTGTTTAACATTTTGTCAAGAAATGAGTAATTTGTCATTAAATTATTCTTTGGTCAAAAGAAAGTAAACTACATTTTAAACAACAACCTGACACATTTCATAAATCCTAATCCAATCCATCACTCTTCAACATTAATAACAATTGTCAAAATTAATTACTTTAAAATGACGTCATCATTTACTAAACCAACATTAATAATTTCAACGACAACAACGTAGCTGTATTCTATTCAAAATAGCTTAACATATTCCATATTTTTGTATATTTT